ATGTAAAAATAAACATTTAAAATGGCAATAAAAGAATGTCAAAAATAAAATGACAACTTAGCTGAGTAAAACCTAATGTACCAAAGAGGTCAGTTGTTTCCTGCTAAGTTGTCCAGCATTGCAGAATCTTTGATTATATTAATCTGAGAAACAAGCAACTAGCTTTGTGTTTAAGGGAGGATACTGATACACAGCAGGAGTAGCGATTCAGAGATCTCAAAAGTGCATGATGAAATAAGACTATCCAGAGAAGCAAATGAACATAGCTGTGTTCATATGCTAACTGCAAAAAATAATAATTTTAGAAAGAGGTGCCTCTGTCTCCCACTGACTGCAACACTCAGGAGAGGAGGCTCTGTACCTGTCCTGGGCAGCACAATTGAGCCAATCCTGTTGGCAGAGGTGTGGGTGAGCCAGGCCAGAAGTTGTGAGGTTGGGAGAATTGGCCCCATTATTCCTCTGTCATGTGATGCCATGGGCAGAGGAGTGGTTGGAGGATGGCCTTTCCCACTCCACCCCCAGCTCATCAACAACTGAGGCAGGTGGGAGAGCTGGCCCTGAGGTCATAAAACAGGAGAGCTGTGCCTGTCCCGCATCAGCTGCAGCACTGAGGTGAGTGAACCCCATCCCTTGCCCGGGGAGCAAAGTAGAGCTGGCTTTGAAAGCATAGGTGTGAGATGTGAAAGAAGGAGAACTGGTCCTACGTTTGCTCAGCCTGTGAGGGGTGGACTAGCCAACGCCTGATAGTGAGGACAAGCCAGAGCTTGTGGGTTGTCCAATCCTGCAGTTACCCAAGCACAGAATCAAGGTTATGAGTTGATCCGTTCCAAGATCCGCCCCATCTGAGATCAACTGGATCACAGGAAGAGACCGGTCCTGGAGACTCAAAGCTGAAGAATTTCCAAGACACAGGACAACAACAGGATAACCAAAAAGAGTTCCAGTGAGAACCCATCATCAATAGTGTAGCAGAAACAAGAGGACCCAGACCAGACCAGCAACTCTGCGCTGAACACTTACTAGTAAAGATATATGGATGAAAGGGTTTACTGCATGACTCACTATGTCACACTACAGCATCCATGATGAAATGGATTTTTCTTAGATTTCATTTTAGCTTATTAGGAGGGGGGAGTTGCAAGGGCAGAGGGCAGATAAAAAGGGACAGGAAAATGAATTAGATGGAGATGCATGATATGAAAGACACAAAGAATAAATAAAAAAGATTAAAAACTAATTATAAAAGAAAACAAACATGCAGGTAAAAATAAACCAAAATTAACTAGACCCAAAGCCAATACTAACTTTATGTAGTCAATACTGACGCATTAAAAATATATATAAAATCAGTTCCCTGGTTTAGTCTTCTTCTGTTGTAAGTTTATATATTCAGTAAAATTTGATTTATTCAAGCCATATTCGGGGCCCTTAATCAATCATATTATTTTACCATTTTAGAAGAAACATTCGAGTAAACTCATACAGGGAGAAAAATAAACATAAACCCTTACATTACCTTTTCAAAGGCTATCGATGAATAAACTTAACCTTCTATATCTACTCTGATTTCAATTGTACTGTTATCAAAACAATCAGGTGCCACTAGATATCACCATTTAGTCCATGTCATCAATGACCTTAAGGTTCCTCTAGAACTCTCAACCAACTGATCTCTTCCTTTCTGTGAACTGCAGTGTTCAGGGATGCAGGGGCAGAAGGGTTACTCGGTGGGTAGGCCCAGTACTTGTTTGAAGTTGCTGCCACCATGACTTCTCAACACCACGGGATGTAACCTGGAATTGTAGGCTTAAATAAACAGTGTGATGGTTTGAATGAGAAATGTCCTCCACAGGGTCCAGGAACTGAAAAATTAGTTACTGGTTGTTGGCGGTGTTGGGAAGGTTTAGGAGGTGCAGTCTTGCCGGAGGAGGTTCTCCTTGGGGGCAAGTTTTTGGAGTTCAAAGCCTCATGCCATTTCCAGTTCACTCTCTTGTGTGTTTGCATTTTAAGATGTGTGCTCCCAGCTTCCTGCTCCTGACCTATGCTTGCTGCTATTGCCGTGTTTCTCCATCATGATGGACTCTCATTCCTCTGCAACCTTAAGCCAAAATTAACTGTTTCTTCTATAAGTTGCTTTGGTCCTGTTGGTTTTTCACAGCCACAGATAAATGGTCCTTTGTCCCTTAGTTATTTGTTATTTTAGCAAGGGAAATGAAGCTAGAGCGCCTCCCCTTGCGCAAGCCCCACCCTATGATTCCCCTCTTCATACAAAAATATTCTCCTTTCTCCTCTCTCTTAAAATCTTTCTTCCCTACCCCCAGTAGTAGCTTTTTAGTTTACTGACATTTTCCAGTACTTTAAGTTAAGCATACAAACCTAAATATTAAAGATTAGGATACACATATGAAAGAGAACTTGCAATGTTTTTCCTCTCTGGACCTGGTTTAGCTTACATAGTTTAATTCTTTCAAGTTTTCTCCATTAACATATAACAATTCCATTTCTCTTTATAGCTCAATAAAATACTTAATGGTATTTTATTCCATTATCCATTCTTCAGTTGATGGACATTAAAGCTATTTCCATTTCCGAGCTATTACAAATAGAGAAGCAGTGAACATGGATAGGCAAGGGTCTCTGTAGGAGTATACAGTGTCTCTTGGGTGTGTCCTTAGGAATACAATAGCTGGGTCATATGGTAGTCCTATTTCTAGCTTTTGAAAATCTTCCACTCTCATGTCCAGTGTGGTCATAACTAAAAGCAAAACATGGGAACAGGCATTTTCCTTGTTCACATATTCTTTTATGATTACCATTTTAAGTCCAGATGAATTGTGCCCAGCCCATAACACAAAGGAATAATAAATTGCACAATGTAATTCATATATTGTAAAATAAGTGATGTGTGTTAAAAGTCCTCTTGGCACACTGATTAATACCACAGAATTTCAACAGTTCTAGATGTGCAAAAATAGAAAACAGACGTGTTCATTCAGTTTCTACTGGTGTATCTGAGCTAATGGACGTGAGAGGAAAAGTCTGTCGCTGAGTGCTATCTGGAGTAACTCTGGGGAATAAATCTGATGTCAGTTAAGTAATGGGATTTGGTACAACTAGTCGTTCAAAAGTCAGGAATTTGCATGGCATGTTGGAATGTGGCTTTCTTGTTGGTGCATGGTTTTCTGCACCTTCCCTTGCAAATGCCTGTCTCACATTCATGCAACACATGTCAAGATGGAATTAAATGGATTATAATGTGGAATTAAATAGCCACCTAATAGAACAACCTGCACTATAGAGTAACTGAGAAACCTTATCATTTTCTGTTAGCTCAAAAGCAGAAACTATCAAGGTTTTGTAAAGTAGAGGAAATGGTAATTTTAAATAAGATTAGTGGATTAGAAGCATTTAGAAATACAGAATAACTTGATACATAGAAATATTTAAATCATAATAAAAATCTTATATAGACTTGAAGTATGGAGGTTCGTGGCTTTGGGGGACTACAATAAAAATTTTTGGCTCATAAATAAGTTTTAGTTGAAGCTAGAACATTAAGAACTTTATCTTCTAGTACACTGCTTTAAAAAATTTACAAATGTATTAGTGACTAAATTCATTCATTGTCAATAATGTGTGTATGCACATGTGTGCATGAACACAAAGTTCATCATGGATACCCTCACTGCACCTCCTTTGATCTCATCACGTATGTCTGAAAATCATCTTCCCTTGCAATTGCCTGTCTCGTCCATGCTTTCTGCATTTATGGTTTTTGTGACCCACTGAGTCTAATAAAGGCTGTCAGTGTGACCATGAATTTGTAACTATCCATTGGACCCTGGCAAGAAATATCTTTTACTCCACATGCACACATACATACAGAAACTTAATACACACACGACTGCATATATAAGACAAAAGTACATCCCTCGTGCATACACTCATATTTTTCAGTACATTCAGCGCTTTCTGTTATTGTCTACTCAGATCAATCCCACATTTTTCTCCCTGTGAAGGAGTCACAGTGTCTAGGCAGTAATAAACAGCATTCTAGTGGAGTTCATGGAAATTTCTAAATGAAGAGATATAGCAAAGCTTTAGGAATTATACCTGTCATACACGACAGAATAAAAAGAATCCTTAGCCTAGTCATTTCTGTGGCCATGAAAGCAAACAGATTTTTGCATCAGTGACGGACAATTGAGTGAGTTCATTGTAAGACAAGCCCAGGAGAGGAAAACAGTAAATTAAAGTGAAGAGAGAGAGAAGAAATGGTTGCAAGACACGTACAAAACCAACTGAGATTTTTAAAACCACGGGAGTCTGTGAGGCAGAAGATGTAGATGTAGCTCATGGCTAAATTCAAAATAGCTCTGTGAAATAATAAAATCTTCCGAAATACAAGTTACCCCGATCTACTCAAATTATGTACACTGATGAAATGCAAAACCTCACATAGCCTTAGAAGAAGAGGCAAGTCTGGAACATATGCTAAGCTTCTACCTGGAACCAGGCACCAGAGTGTGTGAATTTTCCTTCCGTTCTCACGACTTGCAAAGCAAACATTGCACCTGTATCTACAGAGAATGGCGAGGTTCAATGACCATAAGCTATTATTTCTGGGCAAAGAACTTGCGAGATCAGAAAGGCTCACACATATCGATTGGGAAGCTTGGACTTTATTGATAATACAACATTAAAATTATAAAAAATATTACGATGAATAATTTAAAAAATAGTGATTTTATAAAGCAATTTGCAGTTTAGTATACGTTATCGTTTTTCAAAACAGCTTATGATCTCAAGTAACTCTGTATAGTCTACCCTTAGATAATTACAGAAGAGAGAGATAAAGGTTTTTAATTTAACTGATAATGATCTTTGTAAAGAAACCCCCTTTTAATATTATAATTCCTGTTCAGACTCTTGGAATCTTGTTCACCATCATAAGCTCAGGTCTTACAAGCCAGTAGGGGGCAGACAACAATTTCGGATGTCTTTGACTGGGCTCCTGTGTCTCCTCCTCTCTGATTGGGTTACCTAACTCCTGCCGGGAAGCGCTTCCTTAGCAACTGGTTGCCCTGGGAAACGGGAAGATGCAGTCCCACTGACCACATTCCTGGCAAATTCCTAGCACCTACTAGCGGTCAAAGGCGCCAGAGAACTATGTCGGAGATCCTGTGCCAGTGGCTCAACCGGGAGTTGAAGGTGTCCAGGACCGTGAGTGAGTGACCACAGCCTAGGGCAAGCGACGAGGGGAATATGGGGGGGGGGGGTGCGCTGATAGAAAGTGTCCCCTAAGTGGCTAGCAGCGCCCCACAGTGCAGGCCAGCACTCCTCAGTCCCACCTAGACACCTGGGGCCTTCTCATTGCATCCTGACTGGCATTTCCCTTCATGCTGTCTTAGCCCTCAGAATTTCTGACCTACTCTGTATTTCGAAGCAGTCAGCGGTGCTTCAGTTCAGTTCGAGGCACTGGTCTGCTCCTATGGGGAGGAAACCTTGTTCCTGTCTGCAGTCTGACCCTGACTTTGCTTCCCAGTTAACTCTCTCTAGTAAACAGTAAATGGGTCGATGTAGAATATAGTAACATCTGCCGGTTTTAGGAACTTTCGTCTCAGTTTACAAACGGTAGCTGTTTGTTAAGGTGATTCCTTTTCTACTTTTCTAAGTTAACGTTAGTTAATTTTATTGAAGGCACAAAGATGTGCCCGAAAGTCCTAAAGTTTTATGGCCCAGAAAATCCCAAACACTTCAGATTTGGTGAGTACCAACACTCCCAAGTCTAGCACGTCAGTATGGTCTTTCTCTTCTCCGGGGAGGGAGGACACTCATTTTCAAGTACTATGGATTTCCCTCAAGGCAAGACATTTTCAGGACAAATAATTTCAATCTGTCTTCCCAGAGGAACCCTTGCCTCCCTGCCAGTTGCTACCGAGGTGGGCAGCGTTGCCAGTTCAGCCCTGGGTCATCCCTGCTAGGGCAGTAGTGTTTGTGCAGGTGGGAAATATCCACTGACAGCCTAAGGATCTTCAACACACAGCAGCCCAAGTTGCATTTCTTGAGGCATAATTTTAGGCTTATTCTTTGCTAAGCTGCCTCCACCCTGTTATGAGCAATAATAAATTCTTTCTCAGTGTTCTGTCTCTTTGTACCTCTGAGAGTTTCTCTGCTCAAATATGATGCTAAATTCTGGACAGTATTTAGCATTTAGCAATTCTTCTTTCTCTCTCACCATATTGCCCGAAAATGCAATATCACACATGAAGTTGTACTGTTCTGAGATACCAGTTGCACAACCTAATTAATTAATTTAAGTTCTTAGCGTAAGTTAATTAACTTATTTGATAATAAAATCTATACCATTTCCTTAAGTCCTTAGGAGCCTTGTATAATAAAACTCTTTTGGAAAACGTAAATAAAATTAATCATAAACATGCAAACACTAGATGCTGTTATAATATTAATAAGTTTGAGAAATTTGGTTTTGAAAGGAAGTATGACTTCATTCTGTGAAGATTAAAAGCTTGGAGACATTTTAAATAAAAATTATAATGCCACAAGCTGTGAGTGGAAAATTCCCAGCATCTTTTTTCCTCAAGTATAAATCTGGAAATTGTTAGCAGAGACACCCCATGCTAATTTCATTTTAAACACTAGCAATACAGCCATTGCTGAATCCCAATTGCTGCAAGATGTCTGAGGAGACAGTCTGATGTAGCCAAATTATGCATCCAGAGTACAGGGAATATATTCAGTTGTGTTTGTTATCCAGAGAGGATTCTGGTGGACCTAAGACAACAGACTCTTATAGAAGAGTTCTGTGGAGTGTGGTGGAAGATTTTGAATATTTTGTAAACATATGATGTAAACAAACAGGGTAAGTTGAAGAAGGTAATTTGGTCATTCCTGGGTAACGGCTGTGTAAGAGCAAGGGATCAGAGTGCGGACTGCCTGGCTCTAAATATCTTCTTCACCATTATGAACCAGTAGACTAAAGTTCACTGTACTAAGAAGAGTATGTGTAGTGATGCTTCCTCAGTGCATCAAGGTTAAATGGCATAATACACAGAAAACACTGACTAGTACTTGGGGCGGGCATAGTGAGTAAAATCTCACTTGTCATCTTCAGTTGTCTTAAAAAGCATCAACATAAGATATTTGAACAAGGATATATATTGTTGTGTTGATTCTGAAAGAGAAATAATCTGAACAGCCTTAAATAGAGTAATAATTGCATACACCACATTCTCTTATACTATGAATTACTGTGAAACTATTGAATGAATGGGATACATGTTTCAATATCACAGATTTTGTGTATTTATTTGAGTTAAAATATTATAGCTTATTGTAGCTGGTATAATTATAGTTTTATCAATTATAAAACATGTATACCCATATATACACAGGCATTGGGGAAAAGAAACACATGTACTGTGCTGTATTAACTATATTGTTAACATGCCCATAATTTTTCATATTGTGATTTATTTTAACATAATGGAAGTATGTAAAGATATAATCCAGAATGTCAATACAGGTTACTCTGAGGAAGCATTCCTCATTGCCTTCACGCATTTCCACTATTTGGATTGAGCTAGTGTTGCTTTTAGAATTTAAAAGGAAAGTTCAGTATAGTATTGAAATGACAAGTTCAAAAGTGGAAGCCAAACTTCTTAAAAAAATAAGAGAAAAAAACTTTAGTTGAAACATGTATGTTTTCATAATGAAGTATTTTATGAACTCATTAAAGAGTTATTTTCTCAAATAAAAAATGTAGTGGAAATATTAAAAACATATTTACAGGCTACTGATTATTTATAAGGTAGACTATGCTAAGACATTTTATACTATTTTTTATTTTATGTTTAAAATGCACAAAAGCAAAGTCTCCAAGTAAAGATGATAATGAGAATATTTGGGAATTGGTCAAGGATACACAGTTAGTAAATTGTTGAGCTAAGTTATTAACCTAGATATTATATATTGTTCTTAGACACTCTGTTTTACACTTAGGAATATTTATTAGTATCTATTGACCTTCTAAACATTCTTTTAAACTCACTTTTAAGGGCATTCATCCAATTTTGATTTTTTTCCTTTAAAATATTGAATTCTAACCCTTAGCTTCTCTGGAAAGTTATAAGGTTCAATTTCCAGATTCTAGACAGCAAAGGTGGGATTATTAGTGTCTGATTAAGGGTGGTTCAGCCCATTCATTGCTTGCTCATCAAAAATCAAAACAAAACAAAAACCAAACGTAACAAAATCAAACAAACAAGCAAACGAAACAAAAGCCAAAACCAAGATGAGGATGCCATGTAATTGCTTAAGAGACAGTCAAGGTGAATTGATTTCTAGGTTATCTTGACAGCTAGGTTCTGAACGTCCTTGCCTATTCGTGGCAGAGAAAGGACATCCCAATAATCTAAATTGAGACTAGTCATATTCCACTTGGCAGGTGGCAGTGTATGGTCTTGGGAGTCCCTGGAGAGTTGATTAATCCTAAGGCGGGAAGACTCCAATCTAGCCAATAAAACCTAACAATCTTCATTATGATATATTAAATTGAATAATTTTCCTTGAAAATAATGAATATTTGTATAACTTAATAGGATTTTTTAAACTACAATACAATATATTATCCAAAATGATAACTGTAATTCAAGAATTACTATATATTATAATGATAGATAAATTTATTGGCATGTCCTTCAATTCATTTTTAATATTTTTATTTTTCATGTAAACTCTGATTATACTCATTCCATTCCCAACTCCTTCCATATCCTTCTCCTGTCCTACTTCATGTTGTTTCTTATAACAAAAATAAAACAAAGTATGCACATCTACACACACACACACACACACACGTGCACGCACGCATGCACGCACACACCATGGAATCCTTATAGCTGACCAGCTATCAGTGAGTATGAGACTTGCCCTGGATTGTTATTGATAATAACCAGTGTCACTCAATTGAAGACAGCTATTTTCCCCTGTCCCAGTTCTCAATCACAAAAAAGCACCTTGGTTAAGGGTCAAATCTGTGTCCACTTCTCTTTCCCCATCCTGGGCTTTTGTCTGGCTTGACCCTGTGCAGTTCTCGTAAGTGCTGTCACAGTTTTAAGTTCACAGGTGCCTCAGTACTGTTATGTGTAGTAAATTCTAGTGCCTTGAAGTCTTCCATCACCCCTGGCTCTTACAGTTTTTCCACCTACTTTTCAGCATTGACCTCTGAGTCTTAAGGGGAGGAACTTGATAAAGAAATCTCATTTACCACGGAAGGCTCAAAGTCTCTCGCGCTCCATAGTTGTAGGTCTCTCTGTTAGTTGCCATTCACTGCAAGAATTGATTTTACAATTAACAGTGAGTGGCATAGAATTAATATCACTGAAAAGTCGGCCATAAGTTCTCTATGAGGTTATTATTTACTTTCTTACTATTGTGTGGTGCATTTGTATGCATGTATGTGTGCATGCTTCTGTGTGCACCTATCAGTGGAGGAGGTATATGTCAGGTCTCTACGATGCTCTTCATCCCACTCTTTAAAAGATGTCATTTCTCATTGAACCCGAGTTGGTTTCAGATAAACCGACTGGCAAGTGTGTCCCAGGCTACAAGCTATCTGTACATCAAGTGCCAAAGAACCAGACACACACCAACATCCCAAACTTTCTCCACGGGTGCTGGAGTTGTAAATTTACATTCTCATGGTTTTGCAGCAAGTACTTTCCCGCTGAGCCATCTCGCCAACACTACACTCAGTTACTCTTCAGAATAAATGTTGCTTCTCTTTCCTTAAGAGCTAATGAGTATCAGAATTCTACAACAGAAATTCTGCATAAATGACATACGCTGTGTTGGCTATTTTTGTGTCAACTTTGCACAAGATAGAGTCATTGGAGAGGAGGAAGCCTCAGTTGAGAAAAAGTGTCCGTAAGATCTGTCTGTAAGCAAACCTGTTGGGTATTTCCTATTTAATGATTGCTGTGGGAGGGCCCAGCCCATTATGGGTAGGGCCACACCTGGACTACTGATCTGGGTTCTGTAAGCAAGCAGGCTGATTTTGGAAGTCAGTGCAGTGGTTCCTCAATTACCACAAGACTCCTCTAGATCACTCTTGGGCACATACCAAAGTGATGCTGAATCATACCACAAGGATATTTGCTCAGCTATGCTCACAGCCACTTCATTCATGATAGAAACAACCTGAAT